AACCAAAATAAATTGTAATATATATTTTTTTCAGTTAGTTACGTCTAACCCTGATGTACTGAAATAACTTCAACTGAAATAAAAATGAATAAAAACTATACAGAGAAAAAAAAACAATAAAAAAAATATAATAAAAGTATATACTAATAAAGGGGGGGAAAAATAAAAACTCAAAATATATTTAAAAAAAAAACTATAACTGCATATCAATGATACTAAAATAACTTATGCCGTCTGCATATCCATGCAAGTTTTCTTTATATTCTGAATTAGATTTTATTTTTATATTTTCTGTTTTCATTTTAATTTCACTTAAAGTTTTAGTAATTTTGTTGTTTTATATAGTATTTTTTATTTATTAGTTTTAGTTTATTTAGTTTGTTATTTTACATATTAATGTTTATTAGTTTAATCGCCGTATGCAATTTGTCAATATAGTATTTATTCATTTTTTACTAGTTTCAGTTTTTTTAGCTTGCTATTTTTGCATTTTAATTATTTATGCATCTATTTTAAAATATGTCTATATAGTATCCATTAGTGCTGTCAAACGATTAATCGCGATTAATCGCATCCAAAATAAACGTTTTTGTTCACATAATATATGCGTGTGTATTTATTATGTATATATAAATACACACACATGCATGCATGCATATATTTAAGAAAAATATATACATGTACGTGTTTTCAAAATATATATTGTATGTGTGTGTATTTATATATTTATATATACATAATACATATACACAGTACACACATATATTATGTGAACAAACACTTTTATTTTGGATGTGATTAATCGCGAATGAAAATGTTGCCTTGAAAATAAAATACATTTAAGGGCTTTATATTTTATTTTATTTCAGTTAATGTTTACTTATTTCAAGCATCACGGAGTGTGTGTGACTGCAGAGGATCATGGTTAGTGGGCTCATGTGGAATAGTTGTGTGTATTATCAGTGCTGGATTGCAGTGGATTGTTTCTAGTTTTGGGATTAGTGTGTCTCTCGACCTCTCTAGACAAACACACTTGTGTTCGGCGGCTCCTGAGGGGCTCTAAACTCTCCTGAACACCTCCTCCATTCAGACACACAGGAAACTAGCAGCTAGTGTACAATTAGCCAAGCATTCATCTTAACGGTGGGACAGAACGGCTGACCGACAACGACAGAGGAGGAGGGGAGCATAAAACCAGCTTCACGGCCCTCCGCTGAGATTAAACCGGCACAGCTTGAGATCTCACCAAAGTCAAGTCTGTAACACTACAAATACTTACACAAAATGGACTAGATTAATGCACAAGTGCACAAACTGGGACGCAGCTTTCTTACTCCAAGTTATTTCCCTATAGCGGCTAATGAGTGAGAGGTAGGGCCAAAAATACTATCACTAGTATTTTTTCCACATCATACGATATTGATATTCATCACAATATTTGTTTAGCATTAATAGCGAAGAAAACGCTTTCCACATGTTTGTCAGACCGTGACAATGTATGCAAACAGAAACTGTTGAAGTCCACAGGATAAGCTACCTTCTATATTTAGGATGCCATAAAATTTCTAAACCTAAATTTCCCTAAATTTTATTTTTCCTGCATTCTGTGTTTTATGATTTCATGCAAATTTATTATTAAAAAAAATGTTGTCTAATGAAATTAATTGACAAAACAATTTAATAAATTAAAAAAAAATGTAATCAAATAAAAATAATTCACATCACATTTTTGTTAAATAAGATGCTGCACAACAGAACTGTGTACATTAAAACGTGAATGAAAAAAATATCCATCTCTCTCTATATGTGTATTATTACTTTAAGAATTACATTTTAGTATATAATAGTAATGTATTTCTGTCATAAGTTCTTCAAGTTAAACTGAACTTTTATTTTGTCAGTTTGTTAACAATTTAATCAATCTTTTAAAATGTAATGAAATACAAAAAATTAAAAAATGTGTTTTTTTTGTCAATAAAGATGCTGCACAACAGAACTGTATACATTAAAACATGAATTTAAAAAAATCTCTCTCTCTATATATAGCATATA